TATTCATATAAGGGTAAAATGCTCCAAAACAGTGATTTTTTGGATGTGTTCTTCCGTTTTTATAAATCTAGTTCACTGTGTCGTGGTCTTGTGACGTCAGCAACAATCGAAAATAGCGGAGCAACGTTGACCTTTACGACGGTATGACGACAATAACAATTAATGTGATGACGTTTGATCGACATCCGAGTTATATATGAAAATGGGAAATTTGAGGCAGGTATATTGTAGTTTCACAGTCGCAAATTATTTCCATTGTCAAATCAAATGCCGTGTTAGATTACAAATACATTAGAATGGTAGTTTCTATCGGTCATGAATATAATTTGCTTTTCGTGCATTTTTCGATATTTTGACAAATGTGTTTTAAAACTGGGCAGGCCTATTATTATGTCATCGTACTTCGCCAAGGGACAACTGTCTCATTCCGGGTTAGTCTAATATCCAGGATGGCTGTCATACTGTTCAATGTTTCAATCTGTATTTTCAATTTCTTTCTCGTTAGCTAATTACTGATTTGTTATCAGTTATTTTTGTTATGCATGAATAGTTATAGGTCCGTTTAGCCTCAACTTGTTCCGGTTTTACTACCAGGGAAGTCTAAAAATAGAAATGAATTATACTTCCGGTTTACTACCAGGGAAGTGTAAAAATAGATATATCCTTGACAACAACGTATGACGTTATACATGCATGGTCCATTGCCGATATTTGGGTGTACCCATCCGAGTACTCTTTGGTAGGAATATATAGTGTGGAGTGAATCTGAAAAAGACAAAAAATCTAAACAAAGCCATAATGATATTTTTAGAAAACAAAATGGCAGCCTCCATAAAACAAAAAGAAGGCTAAAGCCCCCATTTAAAAAAAAAATGGAGGCCTACAAAATAGAGGAAAAAAGGTAAACAACAAAGGTAAACAAACATTTTTTTGCATTAATTTAAAGAAATTCTATTTTTAGAAAACAAAATGACCGAACCGGAAATGTCGATATGACTCCCACTGACGCATTCTTGAAAAAATGTGGGGGTCATATCAACATCATATCTCTGAAGGCTATTTTCCCCTAGTTTTCGCGAAATCCTGTCACAGCGGCCATTTTCAATACTTTTTGCTCAAAACTTACATTCAAATACTGTTGATGTACATAAAGGATAATTTAATTTAAACGTTATTTAAATCTTAATTTTGCGAAAATGACAGTGCTTTATCTCATCAAAACTTCTTGTTTTCAGCATGGACCATCAGTGGTTGGCGATGCGCCGGTTAGTATCTGAATGCACTGGGGATAGAGCAGACACTTCCGTTTAATTTCCGTTTAATTAAATCCTACATATTATGACATCGTGTGACTCGTATATAATTGCAACGGGTACAATTTAGATACCATACATCTGTTTAACTGAAGATATGCAGGAGGATAAAGTCCTCGCCGTTATATCCACCGGGGAAATCGATCTGTTCGCGTAGAAATATCTGCAAAGGGAACTACTTGCTAGTTTTTGCTAGTTGGGTGACACAGTGGAACTAGGATTCACATATACAGTATATATAATTTTGGTGACCAAGGGCTGAGGAACCAGGATATAAATATACTATAAAGGTATAATAATAATAACATACAATATTTTTTTAGCACCCTATATCATTTCAGCATACGAGTTGGCCATATGGCCAGGCAAGACCAACTTGCTTTTTATCATACTAATTATTGACATTTAAAACTGATGTAACTTGACGATACAGTTTTGTGTTATTAAAATCCGTTGTAATAAGATGCATGTTTGGAAATTAAAACTGAGGTGTGTTCTTTATTACATGGTATATTAGCACTTGTGTGACTATTTGTGACTAATTTGAACAAAGATTGTTGATTTACTTTATCTACCCGCCGTCAGCAACCAGTGTCATTTAAAGGGAAAATCACATCGAATGAAAAAAATGTTAGAAATACAATACGGGCGGGAGTCGAACAAGTATCTTTTACGAACAAGTATGTTCGAACTCATACACCTAAACACTGCCGTATTTGGCCTTAATGTGTTAGAATCGTTTTCTGGATATTAAAAAGCACTGCTGATCCTTATTTGCTATTTGAATAACAAAAAACAAAAAAAATACTTTTGAATAACGAATAACGGGAAAACTCGTTTTTCGTTATTCGTTTTTCGTTTTTCGAACTCATACCCCTAAACACTGCCCCATTTGGCCTTGGTGTGTTATAATCGTTAACTGGATATCCAAAATCACTGCGGTACATTATTTGCTATTTGAATAACGAAAAACAAAAAATATTTTTTTGAATAACGAATAACGGGAAAACTCGTTATTCGTTTTTCGTTTTTCGTTTTTCGAACTCATACACCTAAACACTGCCGTATTTGGCCTTGGTGTGTTAGAATCGTTTTCTGGATATTAAATAGCACTGCTGATCCTTATTTGCTATTTGAATAACAAAAAACAAAAAAAATACTTTTGAATAACGAATAACGGGAAAACTCGTTATTCGTTTTTCGTTTTTCGTTTTTCGAACTCATACACCTAAACACTGCCCCATTTGCCCTTGGTGTGTTATAATCGTTAACTGGATATCCAAAATCACTGCGGTACATTATTTGCTATTTGAATAACGAAAAACCAAAAACCCAAAAATAAATGAATAACGAATAACGGGAAAACTCGTTTTTCGTTATTCGTTTTTCGTTTTTCGAACTCATACACCTAAACACTGCCGTATTTGGCATTGGTGTGTTAGAATCGTTTTATGGATATTAAAAAGCACTGCTGATCCTTATTTGATATTTGAATAACGAAAATCAAAAAATCATTTTTGCATAACGAATAACGGGAAATCTCGTTATTCGTTTTTCGTTTTTCGAATAACGAAAAACGAAAAACGAATCCGGTGCTAACTTCCTGTGGCTTGGCACGATTTGCTGTCAGTTTGGTTCAGGTATACTTTAGGGTAGAATTGGTTTGAAAGAATGGATCAGGTATAATTTTTCGCAGAATTTGTTTGGTAGTTTGGAACAGGTGTTTAGAGCAGATATGTTGTAACATAAAGGATATATTAAAACTAGCTTCTACTATTTACTTGAAGAAATCAAACTTATTTTGTTCGCTGTGGGAAAAAAATCTGGGTAATCATGAAAATTAGTTCAACAGTTTTGCAGCTTTAAAAAATGTACTTTATATCGAATTGTTCGATCATGGCTCGTAAAACTGTAATGGGTAACTAGATAAATCTTTCTCGCGTTTAAAGATATGATTAAATTTGTGTATTGTAACAGGATTAAGAGGATAAAAACTGAAATTAGTTGGCTTTTAAAAAATACATAAACGACAACCGAATGTGATTTCTGGCAACTGGAATTGAATTACATCAACTAGAGATAGAAACATTATCTGATGTCACTACCGACCCTCAAAAAAAAACCCATTATATTTTGCCTAAAGAGCTGCGTTCTGGAATAATCTTACTACCTTAAGGTAACGTGCTTCATTAGGTTGAACTTCTCTAAACGTATACGAACTAGAACCAAGGGTACCTTTCCTACCTCTAACTTTGGTGTTGTAATGTTTACCAAAACTCAACAATGTGACTATGTACAATTATATTTAAAAAAAACAACAACACAATTTCAGATTCAATTGTGACTGCTATTAAAACTGTTGTAGAAAAAGTACAAATTGTAAATATTTGTGTATCGAACAAATAGTATTACATTTCTTTGAATAAATATTTTACATAATTGTACTGTACAAATCAGCTGTGGTAACATTGATAACAACGTTTATTATATTGCGCAAATCTCGCTTCAATGACATTAATTTCAAACCTCTTTATTGAAAAAAACCTGGTAAACAAAAACAAAAACTTTTTTGTCAGCAACCCTCGATAAAATAATATTAGTTTCAAACCTTTTTACTCAGTAAACGTTGGTAAAATAATATTAATTTCAAACCCTTTTTTGCAGCAAACGTCGGTTAAATAATATTAATTTCAAACCTTTTTATTCAGCAAACCTCGGTGAAGTGACATGGATTACTTACCCTTCCTTATCAATTAGCAAGCCTTGTTATAAATGATATTGATTACATTTTTTATCCTATAGCTAGCGAAGGTGTCATACCTTGATAAGTCACCTTGATTATAGCAAGGGTAGGTGTTATACCATTGATTACCAATCTCATCTTTATCATACACCAAACTTTGGTGACATCGATTAACAACTACAAAACTAGGCAAAGCACAAACTTGTATGTACTACAGAGCAAACTAACATCTATTTTTTATAACCGGTTATTCTATTTTGGGTTATGTTCAGGGTTTAACACGTATTTCTTATAACCTTTGATTCTATTTTGGGTTATGTTCAGGGTTTAACATTTATTTTTTATAACCTTTGATTCTATTTTGGGTTATATTCAGGGTTTAACAATTCAACAGCGATAATGAAATTCCACTAAAATTAACAGATGATTTGTCTCTCCGGTTTTGTAGTAATAAGATACCACTATACCAATATCATTAAGGGACTTTTCAGATCTTCATGGCCGAGGTTTAAAAACGATCGGTAAGACAATCTAAAGACTAAGTATATGATAATCCAATGCACCTGCTTGTTTGTGATGCAAATAAGACATTGCCTTCTTTAGGAGGCACGGTAGTCAAGTGGTAGGACGCCGGGCCCATGACCGAAGGGTTGAGGGTTCGAGTCACGTCACGGCACTATGTTGTATCTCCGCTTATTCCAGTCTACTCAGCTGTAAATGAGTACGTGGTTGGGCAGTGCTAGAATTGTTGAATGCTAGCTGTGGGCGCCAAAATGGCAGCACCGTCTTTATGCGTCCCAGGGAGTTGAGAAAGGTATTGGCTGGTTGAAAGGCCCTATAACCGCGGATAATAATTTGTGAACTGCTTTGAGAGGACCCACGAACTAGGTTGTGATAACGCGGTATAATAGAACCTCGAATTATTAATTATTATTGATTTACAGGAGCCGGTGACATGGCTGAAATGATGTGTAGTATGACAGTGGGCGGTTGCGGGTCAGCTTTTATGAGTGCTGACTTTACGTCTGTCGAGGGTATAGCAGCTGTGTGTAGGTAAGCTTGCACTTCTTTCCCAGATTATTGATAATGTAACTGCATCTGTCGAATAAACAGTGTTAACACATTTGGGAATAACTGGTAGCTCAAGGTCGACAAACATAAAATGATGATAAGAAGAAAAGCAGTAACCGAGCAGACAGGTATTATTAGAGGTAAACCATACAAGTTAGCGTTTCCTATAGTATCGTATTTTGATATTGTTTTGTTTATGCAGAATTGCTAGACACACGAGTGAAGACTTGGTAACTATGTATGATATCATTGGCTGACCTACGTACTTACACACGTTCACCTCCAACAATATGTATGTATTTAGTGTGCTCTGTTGATAGTATATGTTTGTGAACTGAAGGAATAGTCATCACTCGGCAGTGAGTCTTTGAGACAATCACTGTTTATATTTAAAAGATAAACTCCCTGACCATTCTATTCTGTCTATGACTATCCGTGAATAAGAAAAGATATCCATCTCGTGCCGAGAGGAGCATGTTGTAAGATACTTTACCAAGGCTGCGTCATATGGAAGCAGTGTACGTGTCGGGTTCATGTTGCTGTCCGACTATATATAATGTTACGTCGTTTTTCACTCACCACAGGAGGTGTGTGCGTAGTCATTGACATTGCGATAGTCCAATCGAATACAATGTTACGTTTGAAGATCTGATGGAAACTAAGGAGAAACCAGTGGGTGTTCATCAGGTTCCTACGAACTGCACTGTAATCAATACCTTTTTGTCTATCGCGAATTTTGCAAGGGAATCCAACTACAAATGTTCCTAATGACCTTTGGAAACTAGCTAGGAGGCTGCGTAAAGTTAATGAATATGCGACACGAATTCGACTCTTTAAGGCTGTCTGCACGAATAGTCACGACTTCCGGTAACGCGTGATTTCATGGAAGTCAAATTCACCAACAACAGGAAAATGCCATTAACATCGGTAACATTGCATTAAAGGGCGCAAAGCTATACCACCGTAATTCATGTACAAAACTAGTCTTATCGTTTCTTACTGTTTTTCTAAACCAAATGCTTTCAGGCTTTTTAAATACGAGCAAACGATAAAGCAGTTGAATTTAGATGACCCCAGGGTTACTTCTGATTCAGTTGTTTTGCTCCACATCCCCATAAAACTATGGGCCATCTGGATATGTAGACATGGGCGATTTGTATATAGTTCATGATGCTTAACTACGAGAGCTGTTCATGGAGGGGGTATCGAAAGACTCCTACTATCAACTGGAATGCAAATTTCAATCAAGGTTCTAATGAATTCCATCGAAGAATATTAAAAATGGGCAAAACGAAAGCCTGCTCATTTGGATTCACTTTCATTGTGGGTCAAATTTATCAGGTCCCTCATTTAAAAGGGATAGGTTGCGTCAACTCGAAAATGAAAACAAAACAGAACTGTGTATTATATAATATCAACCTTTTACTTTATACTCAAACAATGTACGTATTAAACGCGTCACAACATTTCCGGACCCACCGGTTCCTTTGTCTAGCCATGACAGTGTGAAAGATTTGTATTGTTTACCTGTACAATACTGTGACGGAATTGTATATTTGTATATGTCGATTGATCCGGGACGTTTCGCCTGTCGACAGTAAAAGTGTATACACTGTATCGAATATGTTACTGGTCTTGTTCTCCTTATACTGTTAGAAGAGATTGAATGTTAATATCTCCTTTGTTCATATACTGTCCAAGATTTAGAGTTTGAATAATGTTTTTGTTGAAATTTCGGGATTTGTTTTCGCATATGTGGGATTGCCTCCGTTTGTTTATGATTAATGTTTATTTTACAATTCGTTTCAGTGTTTTCTCAGTTGTTTTTGTCATTGGAACTTCGGTGTTAGACATTTTCCTTTTTATTTTTTAGTACAACCCGCCCTCGATTTCTCGCGTGCATTGAGAACGTACCCGCGGAGTGTACTGCCGCCGTGAACACTCCGGAGATGGGAATGATGCGCACGCAACTCGACACCTTGTGTGGAGCAGGGTAGGGTGACATGATACGTGTTCTCATATACTTACATCCATGAGTATAGGAATTGGAAAACCAACATAATAAGCATATTGAAACTAGTATTCCATTGGAATAAGGAAAGCCCAACAATGTCGGGGTGTTCAGATGACAGATGGTCGAGGGTAGTTTTTGTTTTAGTTTAAACATATTTTATTGATACAAAAGGATTGGGCACAAGTTATTAAACTTATATGAAGCCCTCTCCAACACATGTTACAAACATGTATATTAACAATTCAAATTCCTGAAAAGTTCAACGCGTTGTCGGGCATAGAGATTACAGTTAAAAAAATAATGGTTTGCACCTTCACAGTAAAAACCGCATTCAAAACGTTGTTCATTAATAATGTTCACTCTGAATAAATCGTGTTTAAGAGAACTTGATTTGTTTCTAAATCTACAGTGTAAGATGTTAGTTTTCCTGTCACCAAAGAGAAAGAGATGTGAAAAATTTGAAACGTGTTTTTTACGAAGAGTACATGTATCTCTAAACGTGCTAAAAGTTCCTAACTGTCTAATGTTAGTATCTAAACGGTTCCAGAGTCTTATAGTAGCTGGGAAGTAGGAGTTGTTTGTTATTTCCAGTCAGTTATTGGGTAGCGTGTAATTTTCGGAGTTTCTTAGAGTGAATCTGGAGTTTTCAGAAATTAAAGGTGGAAGAAGGTCAGAAAGGTATGGTGGGGCTAGTCCATTGTGGATTTTGTAGAACAAATTTAACTTCCGTCTAGATCTGCGGTCAGATAAGGGTTCCCAGCCAGTTTCAGAGTATAAAGATTGTCTGCTTGTATATGTGGGAAGTCCTGTGACTATCCTGGCGGCTTCTAATTGAATTCTTTCTAGTTTATCAGCATCTGCAACACTACATCCATCCCATAGTTCACAACAATACTCTAAAGTTGGTAGAATATATGATTTATATATTTTATCTAAAGTCGTGCGATTTAGAGTATACTTTAGCTTTCTTAGGGTAGGTTGTTGGCACTCCACGCTGAGGAACATATTTCAGCGATTGACATTCCGTTTTCTCTTTGCTATTACACTTTTTGTTTACAAAACATTTACTTTTATTTCTAGGAGGATGCAGTATGCCTGACTTGTTTCAGTGCATATCCATATTACATGAGATCGAAGAAGGTGCTGAAATGTGCAGGTAGATTTCGTTATTTTGAATGATATTAAGCTTTTTTATATATTGTTATATTTACACTGCACAGCACCTAGATGTTTCTACCGGGCCCAATGTATGTTATTTAAGGATTGGTTGTCGCAAGCCAAATGTAGTTTACACGCCAATAAACGTCAAAAATATGACAACCAATCCTTATATTTATATTTCAAACCAACAAAATTAGTTGTGCAATGTTGCGAGTATTGTTAATTGCTGTTTTAAAACTCTTAAACACACCGACTGTGTCAGCGGTAAATTGTTCGGAACAGCCGGGTAGTTTCGCATTCCATAGTCGTTGTCAAGGGCAACCAGGCCGACAAAAAAAAACAACAACAAGAAAGTTCCACAGTAAACACATCAATTTAATAATTGATTTTTTTTTTAATTTAAAAGCATATATGTCAATTACCAATTTGTAAACTAACATGTGACCATTTTAATATATGTTGTGGTCATTTAGCGATTTAACTGTCATACAGTAACATTTTAAGACACAACACAGCGGAACATCACCACTTGGCGGTAATAAGGTCAGTGTATCACTACACTGACCTAATCCCCGTTGTAGTTCATTAGAAAATATGTTACAATGGGACCAGTAGAGTTATCTAGGCACTATGCAGTGTAAATGTAAATATTTCCGTATAACATACATTGGGCTATTGTGACGTCGCTATGCTTATGACGTCATAGCTGTAACGTTGGAGATTGCACTGCTCCACTGTCAACGGGTGGCTGTTCTCTGTATGGATTTACCCTGACGTTGAAACATGTTCAGATTAATATTATGTCCTTATTGCTGCGTGAACTGTAAGTTGATTAACATAAAATGTAAATATAAGTATTGGTTATCATATTTTTGACATGCATTGGTGTGTAACATACATTGGCTTACCTAAATATTTAACATGGTGCGCTAGCGCGCACCATTCAATATGTAGGTGAGCCAATGTATGTCACACACCAATGCATGTCAAACATATGACAACCAATCCTTAAATAAGAGACAGTTTTTTTTATAAGATTGATTGCAGTCATAAGTTATGATGAAATACACTGTTGGGTAACTTAAAGTACCATACGTTCCACATAATGTAACGAGCTACGGTATCCTGAGCTAGAATCGATTGCATGTTCGCAATTAGTCATCTGAACATAACACACAATTAACAGAAATTTCTCTGTTCCTTTATCAAAAATTAACAAACGTTGTACTGTCAACTATATCATCTTTCCAGTATTAAAGAAAGTTTCCTCGCCTGTGACAGAGGCCTTCCTTCCGCGTGCAAAACAGACTCAAATTACCTCGCCGCTGTGGCACCAGCTCGTGCAATGCTCACTAGCCATTGCTAAGGTAAATATGCCAGCCCACGAAAAGTCCTATTCTTAGAATCATTTGTATAACATGACACGGGACAACAACAATGTATGGCAGTCATTTACTTCATTGTAAATATCATTAAAAGCATGGAACAATTTTTATTTACAACCGCAATAACAGAATTACTAGGTTAGACCTGCCAACTGACCACAGTACGTACTACATTGTACGTTATACCAGCTTAACGACAACGACAGTATATACTTGGTTATACCAGTAAAATGATAACGACAGTTAAAACAATATCATACCAGGTAAATGACAACGACAGTCTGTACTAAGATATATCAGTTAAATGGCAACGACAGAATGATCGAAATTATATGTACTAGGTTACAACATTTAAATGACAACGACAGATTTAACAAAGTCATAACAGGTAAATGACAACGACAGAATGTACTTAGATATATCAGTTAAATGACAACGACAGTATGTTCAAGGTTATACCAGTTAAATGACAACAACAGTATATACTAGGTCATACATGTTAAAAAACAACGACAGTTTGAACAATGTCATACCAGGTAAATGACAACGACAGTCTGTACTAAGAAATATCAGTTTAATGACAACGACATTATGATCTAGGCCATACCAGTTAAATGACAACGACATTATGTACTAGGTTATACCAGTTAAATGACAACGACTGTTTAAACAATGTCATACCAGGTAAATGACAACGACATAATGTTATAGGTTATACCAGTTAAATGACAACGACAACATGTTCTAGGTTATACCAGATTAATGATAACGACAGTATGTACTAGGTTACACCAATAAAATTACAATGACAGTATGTTGTAGGTTATACCAGTTAAATGATAATGATAGTATGTACAAGGTTATACCAGTTAATTCTAATTCATTTGAGATGTAACAAGGCATTTAATTAGTAAATAAAAATAATTTGCAACAATAAAACCATGATATACCGTCCGCAAATTTCTCATTTGCATATCAAGTCCGGATGGCGATTGTTAATGACGTCGATCGACCCGACGGATCCTGACACGTCTTGAAATTGGTTGTTTATGACGTCACGAACAATAGTTTGACCCTGAAAGGTCAACGTAATTCCGCCTCACTTTGAACATTTCTGACGTCACCAATCCACAGCAGAAATACCCAGAGTTTGAAGAAAACACCCAAAAATATCTTGAAATCGTCGTTTCTTTTGGTGGTTTTGGTTGATATATTAATTAGAATGGGGATAACCCTACTGTAATTTGAAATTTGCGACGGTATATCGTGATTATACTGGCGACGTAGATAAACTAGGTAATACTAGTTTAATGATAACGACAATATGTACTAGGTTTTACTACTTAAATTACAATTTAGTTTTTCACATCGGTAACTGTAATTATCATAATATAGTACCAAACAGAAAGACGATGAAGCCGTCATTTAGTCTCAATTACATGTAATGGTCTGCGTGGTCTGTAAAATACAGACTTCATTGATGTTTTATTTGAAAATTACAATCTTCTGTCTGAACATTATTCAACATACATATTTTTCTCTTTTACTTTTTCCAGAAGAAAAACCTTACAACCCAAACTATCGAGTAAAAGGTCATCGCATGGCAATGCCAACTGCGCTCATTGTGGACTTTCTCATCACATGTTAACAGCGTGTAATATTTCAATAATTGGTTTCACTTTACGGTGAATAAACATTTTTTGAAAATAGAAACTCTTGCGTTGTTTTTATTCTGTGGAAGGTGAAGAAAAGGTCAAATAAACAAGCAGTATTACTCATCTATGTAGATCTGATGTCTCAGATTGCACGAATGTATTCCGCGTGTTGATATATTTCACGAAGGCTTTCTTAAGTCAAATGAATTCATATGATGGTATTGCTCTTATAACATACCTTTTCTTTTTAAATGCATTTTAGGTTTTTCGAAATACATTGCTCGTCATGACCACGTTTCTATGTTCAGTTTGCTTTCCAAAAACTTGAATCAAACAGCAATGGCGGACAAAACGGCAGCGAGGACAGGATAATGACATCATTTTCATATCGCGTAAAATGGCGCATACTTTTCATAACTCATTTATGTTTCAATTCGTCGATTTGATAAGTCCAAAGCCGGTTACATACATATTCAATGAATCCCGCTATCATGGTAAATATGTATGTAATCGATTTGCGTTTATACCGTCATGAACATTGAAAAAACGCCGATCAGTCCTTATATTTACATTCTAAATTTGTACTTATTATTAAATCTAATACAGATATTCCTTTTATATTTCCGATATTGGAGTTTTTATGTCGGCTGTGCAAACGAGATTCCTGGAACAGCATAACGTCATCAAAATGTTTCAAGCGGTGGTCTCATGTTATTCGAGGCAGAAGGAGAAGCTTCGATATGACGCTGATCCAATTGCGTTCATAGCCCAATGGACGCAATTTCTTAGGATAATGCTCATATAGGAATTTGCAGTGGCAAATATAAACCGTTCAACTAGTTTAAATACTCAGACTAAATATTGCTACACAGTGGATGTCGTAATTTACAGGTCGCAGCCATTCCCATTCTTGCTCAACAGTGTATAAAGGTTTCTTTAAGTTTTCTCACCCAGACATTGTTTCTCTCGTGTCCTCATCCTGATATCTACAATCTCCTCGTACATCTCGGTTATTACAGTTAGGAATAAAATATCCGGGTGGTCTGATGGCGTGACACATGACAACAATGGGGCTTCAGGAATAATGATAAGCTGAGTTCGATAATCGTTATTTGTAGTGGTAGTTACATTAATATTTGATTTTTCACGCCCGTCTTTTTAATTTTAGAATTAATAACATAATTTAATATTCTTGAGAAGCTCTACAAAAATCCATGAGGGAATGTAGATGCCAGTGATGAGACAAAAACAGACATATGCAACAATAACAACAACAACAACAAAAAACAAAAAACAAGCGTTAAATCATTTTTTCAGTAAAAATTACCTGGATCGATCATGACAAGAAAATGTGTAGGGCGGACGGGAGGACAAGAACATGCATTTATAAAGGAAAAGGTTTAACAAATGAAATTTCTAATTATAGACCAATTTCTATTACTTCATGTTTTAGTAAGATTATAGATTTTTTTTTATATAAGTACATGTTTAATTATCTTACTACACATGGAATTATTACTATGCATCAATCTGGATTTATGCCTAAGGACTCTACTATAAATCAACTTCTTTCAGTATATCATACTATCGTACAATGTCTTGACCAGTATAAAGAATTAAGATTTGTTTTTTGTGACATAAGCAAGGCGTTCGATAGAATATGGCATGATGGACTGGTACATAAACTCCAATTATATGGCATCAAAGTGAAATTACTTTGTTGGTTGAGAATTTTTTTTAGATGACAGAAAACAAAGAGTTCTAACTGAGGGATATATATCTACATCCAGGCCTGTAAATGCAGGGGTACCACAGGGCTCGGTTCTCGGTCCACTGGCTTGACATTCGGTGATGATGCTAAATGGAATGACCACATTTATGATATTTACCAAAAAGCCTACAAAAGAATTAATATTTTAAGGATGATGAAACATATAACTAGACAGACAGTCATTAACCACAATGTATACATCATACATTAGACCTATACTAGAATATGCAGATGTTGTTTGGGATAATTGTTCACAAAATCTAAAAATCTTTTAGAGTCAGTCCAGCTAGAGGCTGCGAGAATAATTACAGGACTGCGTAGAGGCACCCCCACAATATCTTGTACAAAGAAGTATGCTGGGTTCCTCTTGAAAGTAGGAGAAAACAACATAAAATGATGCTGATGTACAAGATTATGAATAATGAAACTCCATATTATCTGAAAGATCTCACTGAGTCACATTTTCATGATCCCACACTAGCTAGATATCCCCTTAGATCAGTTAGAACATTTGATCCTCCTCTTTGTCGAACTCTTAACTTTTTTAATAGCTTTTTTTCCATCCATGTTTAATGAAATACATAATATCGCTTCAGACCTTCAAAATATTCGTTCCGCCTATCAGTTCAAAAAGTTGATAACACCTATTCCAAATTCAAACACAAGAACAACTGATGTCTTTAAGTTTTTAGGAAATAGGGAAACTAATATTATTCTCTGTCAGTTGAGAAATGAGGCCAGTAACCTAAATAATGACCGTCAGAAAGATTATTTTACTGAGTCCTCTGCATGTTCTTGTGGTTCTAGATTTGAAACAGCATCTCATTACTTCCATGATTGTATCAAATACAATGAATATCGTATTCTACTTTTTCAGAATATATTCCATGAAACTCACAACCATTTATCATTAGATGTCATGCTAAATGGTTGTGAGAGATGTGATGAAAATGAAAATAAACATATTCTCCTATCTATATCCAATTACATTTTAAGTTCTAGAAGATTCAGGACATTTAACTTCAATTTTGAATGAAATTTTACATTTTATTTATTTACACTTTATTTATTTACATTTTATTTTTTCTCAATGTAATTCTTCTGATTTCCAGAAATGGTACATGAATATTAATATTAATATTTCCTATTTGTCTTCATTGTTTATTTTTAAATATTGTTAGTGAGGGGGGCTGGGGTTCAGAAGACCAGTTATACTATTTTTATTAAAAAATATTGGGAAACAACTACATAAATAAGAATATAAAGCTTTACAACATGTTAATTATATATCTAACCTGTGTTTAATGTGCATAAATTAAACTATTTGGTGGGATTGAATTTCCAAACTCATCAGTGGATGACCTTGTGGGATACAATGGACTTTCTGGCCTGTATCTGTTGGATGCGGTAATTTAATCCCATAGAATGTTTATACATGCAGCTCCATCAACAAATTATTTTTCTTTTCTCTTCATAATATGTTTATACCGGTATATATTTTATATGTCTTTTCAATATCAAAATAAAAGGTTAGAATTTAAACCATTAGATTCGAT